CTCCTGAATGACAAATCAGTTGTCAATCACCTCCTTTCATTTTCGTTGGATTCAAGGATTTTGGAAAACACAAAGCAATGGTGTCTTTTGGGGTCTAACATGCCACATTTAACCCCTACAATTGTGTAAAATTTTGACCCCAGATGGCAATTATGAAAGCGATGAGTCTTTAGTCTTTCTCTTGGGAAAGGGTGAAGTGCTGAAGTTAAAATATTAGATAAATAGAGACGAAGGAAACTCGTATGGAGTAAAAAAGAATAAAAAGAAAGAAATATACTTGTATTTAGCCCTAGTGCAGGGTCAGTAAACTCCCCATCCCTTCATGAACATAATACAGTCAAAAGTCGTTAATCCGGACTCGTCGGGACTTCGGCGATTCCGGATTATCGATTTTCCGGATTATAGATCATCAGTTTAAATCTGGTAAAATGGCATGCAGAAATTATAAAATTAAAAATATGAAACCGTAATTTACGAAATAAAGAACAATTATGATTTAAAGGGTATCAAAATTTACAAAAAAAAAGCTTAATATTTATTTGTTTACTTTATTAAACATTTCTTTCAATGTAAGTTGTTTAAGTTGCTTTGTTTTTTATGTTATAATACATTCTCTTTAATTCTATAAACAGACATAATTTCTTGTTCAGTTACAAAGTTCCGCTGTTCAAGTGATATAATTGCTGTGTCGAGAATACCGACTAATTTGTCAATCGAAATTTTTTCGTTTTCAATAACCTCTGTCACTTTCTTCGCTATCGGAAGCGAATTATAATGACGAGGCACTTGATTTAAATCATATCAAAGACAAGATTGAATACTACATTGAGTAAGCAATTATAAGCCAAATAAAATAAAAACATCTGCCCTTAAGATAAGGATAGTGTTGACAGATCAACTTCCAATTCAATGCTCGCTGCCACCGCAGCGTTAAAGATAAACAAAGTTTAGATAAACACACGTTAAAGTTTAGATAAACTTTATCCATTTTTTGCAGCAATTCCACTTTTTGTTTAATGGACTCCAAAAGATACTTTCGCTTTGTATATCCTTTACATATTAGTAAATATACATTGGAAATTCTATTTGACATAATCGAAAGTTCAAGCTTACTTTTATAAAATTGCTCTAACAGTCTGCAAAAAATAATAATCCGGATCCAATTCGAAGATTAAGGAACAACGCAATCTGCAACATTAACTGAAATAGATAATTAGATAATTTTAGCTTAGCTTATCCCGTCCGTTATACATTAAACGCGCATTCGTAAACGTATTTTGCGCACGCACACACGCAAATTAGCAGCGGTAAAGGTCTTACGTCAACACGACGCATGCGCAGAAAGTTTGTAGCTTTGAGGTCCGGATTATAGATCATTCCGGATTATGGGTGTCCGAATTAACGACTTTTGACTGTACTGAATCCTAAACAGCTTGCTAGTTAATCATAAACAAATTATTATATCATAAACTATTAAAATGTAAAGATGTATATTATATACACAATATTATATATACGATATATATTGTATAATGGTGCCCTTCAAAGGGTTAAACAGATCCTTTTTAGTTATGGTATAATTAATTTATAAGCAGAGCTTTTCAAGTCTTTTTATTGTATTTTTCTTACTTGTAAGTTGTTTGAATAATAGTAATTTAATGAGAAAATTTACTCAAGCCTAAATTTTGAAATTAAAAACATGTATAACTTTCTCTTCAATTTGATGATCACACAAAAGATTGCTACCAGTTTATAAAAACAAATTCTGTAATAATCATTTTTCTTGTAAAGGAGAAAATCTGTAGAAACATTTTCTGCTGTACTGTATACTTTGTAAAGCAGTAATGTCATCAGAATTTGACAGATGACTTGGGAGATATGTTATGGCTTTCCAAACCAGAATACTGCTGCTTTGGATGATATGGTGATTAGTGGAGGTTAACTGTTGGGATTTGGCTTGAACGTTTGAATGTTGGTCAGGAGTGTGTTTGACTGTAATATCTTAGCAGAATGGAAATACTTGAAATCTGTTATCTGGAGATACTTTCAAGAAGTGTTACAGAAAGAGAATGTTCTGAAATTTCATCCCTATAAACACTGTCAGTTTAATACAGATGAAACTTACGCTGAAGCCTTCATTTGCTGTATTCAAACATTAAGCAAAATGATTAGATTTGTCATTTCTGATAACGCTTCCCCCAAAAAAATCTCTGAATAAAAATGCGTAGGTTGATCCAAAAAAAAGTTTACAAGCAGAAACATTTGAAACGTAATAATTGTGGAGCGAATATTTCCACCCAGGGTGGTTGACAGACGGTGCTAGTTGCCCTACAGCGGTTCTATGAGTAAGTAGCGTCAGTACACAGACACTTAAGAGCGACATTACTCGCACGACGTCTAGAAAGTGGTCTCGCATAGAGGTGCGAGCCGTAATTCGATTCTTATGGGCCAAGAATGTGGCCACATCCGAAATTCACAGACAAATCATTGAGTATACGGGGACAAAGCAATGAGTAGACAACAGGTAGCAGAAATGGTGTCGTTCTTATCAAGCGGGCAGGGAGCATGTGGAAAACCGCAATATGGAAGCAAGCGGCCGTCCAAGTTCTTCAAGGACGGATATCAACACGGCATGTGTTGAAGAAATCATCCAAAGGGATTGACAAGTAACCGTGCGTGAGATTGCCTCAGAGTTGGACCTGAATTATGGTAACGTTCAGCGTATTGTAACCGATGGGTTGTGATATTCCAAAGTTTGTGCCCGCTGGGTTCCATGTGCCTTGTCCGCGGAGCATAAGGCCACTCGAATGATGTGCAGCCTCTCATTTCTTCAGCGATACCATTCAGACGACCAACACTTCATTGATTGCATCATTACCGGTGATGAAACATGGGTTCATCACTTCACCCCCACATCCAAAAGAGCCACGATGGAGTGGAAACACGCTGGATCACCGACGAGGAAAAAGGTTAAGGTCATACCCTCTGCTGTAAAGTGATGGCAACCGTTTTATGAGATACGACTGATGTTATCCTAATCGAGTATTTGGAGCGTGGCCATACCATTAAGGCCGATCGTTATTGTGCCACCTTAACGAAATTGCGTAAAGCCATCCAACGCAAACGGCCTGGATTACTGAGCAAAGGCGTCATTCTTCTGCGTGACAATGCCAGGCCCCATACAGCTCGTCAGACTCAGGAATTGCTGCAAAGGTTCAAGTGGGAGGTCTGGAATGGAATCACCCCCCATACAAGCCCCAATTTGGCTCCAAGTGACTATTTCATTTTTCCGGCATTGAAGCGATACTTATCCGGAACACTGTTCACGTCAGACAATGCAGTGAAAACAGCTGCCTATAAATGGTTTAATGAGCAGGGCCCTGATTACTACCAAGATGGGATAAACAAGTTGGTCAAACGTTCTGACAAATGCCTAAACAGGTTTGGCGACTATGTGGAAAATTGAAGGCCAGATGTGTCTCTTGATTCCCATTTGTATCTTATTTCTATTGTTAATAAATACTTTTTCATTTGCCTTGTAAACTTTTTTTTTTGGATCACCCCTTGTACTTAATGAAGCCAATATCCAGTATGTTTTATTAATGGCAATTAAACAGAACTTCTGTCTCAAAAAGTCATAATTTATTAAAAACTTGACAGCTGTATGCAAAATAATTTTTCACAAGCACAACAGTACCTTACATGGTTTAGCTGCCTCAACCATGCTGTCCCTCTAGTATCTTCTATCTGCAGTGATTCCTTTCCAATTTTTAATTTTCAAACTTTTTGAGTCTTCAAGGTCATCTAACCATCTAGTCATTGGTCTAGATTTAGCTTGGGATCACTGAGGTTTTTTAATGTCAAGATCTTAGTGGAAGCGAAATAATTCACCAAGGTATTAAGTTTCATAATCTACTAGTACCATATCCACTGCCTGCAAAAATACTGACTTTAATAAGCAAAAAATTATAAATGCATTTGAAACATTTGTCTGTTAAAAAATGAGAAATACTTTAAAGCATGGATTCATTTTTCAAACTCTGAAAGGAAAAGGGCATTTTTGACACTTAGATGTTTATCTGACACTATATAGATTTCTTTGAGTAATACATGTCTCTTAGTCATTGCTCTTCACATACTAAACTACAAGCTTTTTTATGGTTTCTTATTTAGTGTCATTAAGTATATATATTTGTCCAAGAAAAATATTCCAGTACATTTTCATTCTGTCTACTGTTTATAGTTCTTCTTTGCAGAAGTTAACTAATGTTAACTCCTTACATCTATATAATAAGTGAATTGTATAACTGTTATATATTTTATATCTTCAAATCAGTTAATTCCTGACACTGATTTCTGTATTTTTTTCGCATTTGCTGTTGAATTTTTCAAGAATATTGTCTCTCAGCATATAGTTTCATTTGATGAAAATTGGCGTATTCCTTGAATGTGCATACCAACCATAATGCAACAAACCGTAATTCTACCAGAAATACTGTTGATATTAAATAGAAATTACCTGTAACAAAACATTGGCAAGTGTTATAATGCAAAGAAGGTATATATTCAAGATTTAGAAACTACACCCAAATGCTAGTTATTAAATGCAGAAATTTGTGGTTCTAAAAATCAGTAATAAAATTGTTTATGAATGATTTGATGGTGGGAGATTAGTGGTGGCAAAGTTTCCAAGTATGGCTGATGTTTCAATTAATACACAACTGCATTCTGCAAATAGTACTGTATTCTTTTGCAAACCAAGAGAAAAAGAATTTCAAAATTGGTACCAATAAACGGAGTAAGGCTTCGCAAGGAGCTTTAGGGTTGTAAAATTTTTTTAATATAATGGTAAATGTACATTTAGAAACATGGGTTCGGAAATATATTTTATCTTTTTCAATATTTTGTTGGCAATATGTTTTCATCATTTCCTTGCACTTAGGCTGATATGTCTGTGTATTATGTTCAAGAGCTTAAAAAATTGTAAGTTTTTTCCATAGTATAACATTGCAGTTAAATCTCCAGGTGCCTTATCCATGGATTTTTCCATTTAAAATTGGGAAAATTTATTTACCAGTGAAAAGTAATTTTGTAAAATGGGCTTAAAACATATTTAATTTTATAAGAAAAGTCCCCCATTTGGAAGGATCGATAACTAGAAATCAGCATAAGACCTCTTGTCTACATATTTATATGAGAGTTGTTCGGAAAGTAAATCCCATTATTGTGTAAACGAACACTGGGACAGATGTGGACAAAGATACATATTTAATGATTTATAAACGTTACAGTGCTTTTGACATAGTCACTGAGCACATCAAGGCATTTATCACATCTAAGCATCTATCATTTATCGTACATAAGAAATAAGATTTTATTTGCCAACATCAGAGAAAGTGGTCATATGTTAAGTTAGCCAGGATGTTATGGCATTTTTCACTTCTTCATTGTCATCAAAACGCTGGCCTCTCAAGAATCGCTTCAAGTATGCTTGGTACTAGGTCAGGCCAGTACTGTGGAGGGGTTTGTTAGTTTCCAACTGAAGGACTGGATGAGATCTTGAATCACACTAGCAGATTGTGGCCTGGCATTGTCATGCAATAAAATGACATCGTAACTAAGCAAATTGTGTCTTCTGATTTGAATAGCGTGTCGCAGGTTTTTCAGTATTGCACCGTAAACGGCGTCTTTGATGGTTTTGTCTCAGCATGAGAAATCCACATCTTTTCTATCCCGGAAGTTATACACATGTTTTTTTTTACGTGTGGAAAGTGTCCGTTTGAACTTCCCCCATGTCGGCAGGGGGCTTCCATTATATTTATTTTAGTTTTGATAATGACATGACAAGAAAAATCGAATTCTCGTGACCAGTGACAATGTGGCTTAGTATTCATCCTCCTCGTCATTGTTTTTTTTTTTTTTTTTATTTGTAGATTAAATGAACAAAATTTTAATTTTCAGAGAATTTAGTAAATTTAGCAGTAATTTTTTGTGCTATAAGTATACAAATGAACTTATTCTATTTATTTTTTTTTTGCAAATGTACATTATATTTATAACATACATTAAAGCTAATTTATTTTATAATCAGATTTATTTAACAATTTCTGTGTAACTCTCTGGTCCAGTAATAATGTAATTGCAGATTTTTCATTTTGGATAAATAATTACTTTTCTGTATTTCTGTTTTAATATAAATTTTGAGCTTATATAGTTAAGATGATTGAAGAATTTATTTAGCTGAAGCTTTTCAGACATTGTGTTTCAACTGAAATGCTACTCATAAGTCATTTGCTTACATTCTGCACAATGAATGTAAAATTGCATATATCATCAGCAAATGGGAATAGATTCTTAAATAGAGCCCTTACAGAATTTTTTCTGGCTTAGTGAGTCAAAAACATGGTAACAATATTTTTTTTTTTTTAATTTATAATGAAGCCAAAATTTCAAGTTAGATATTTTTATAAGCTGCTAGCGATATTACTATTCCAATGGCACATACACGGAGCATAATCGTGAATTTAGTGTAGAGATTCAATTTAGGTAAAATCATACTGAGAATTTTATATACTATGCATTTAGTTATTAATCTCTGTCTTCTTAAGATTGAAGGTATTTAAAAAAGTGATTTTTGTTGGTTGATATAAAATTGATTTTCACATATGTATTGATGTATTTTTACAAAAGAGTTCTATTCATCAAAAAAACTCCTCATTCAGTCAGTTTTTCCCCATTTCCCCACCCCATGTTTTTTCTATGTACTGACATTTTCTTTGTAAATAAATATGCTTAAAAATATAATCATTTTTGTTTAATAAATCCTGATTAAATATTTTTAAATTATTAGTTGTTTTAATACATATGTACAAACAATCCAAATTTAATGTAAAAATAAAAAATGGAAAATATAGTTAAAACTCAGAAAGACATAATCTACAAAATATCTACAAAATTCCTGGTTCTGAGGTCAGTGGATTAGAGGAATTCATCTGTATGTTAGTTAGGCCGCATCCTCCACGATGGCTCGGTTCCCATAGGCAAATAGCCATTGTGTGCTTTGCCATATTAAAATACCCTAACCTAATCTAATGTACATTAGTGTAAGATTGTGGGTTCTGTTTTATTTAACATAAAAAAATTTTATGTAATTTGTAATAGTGTGATTTTCCTTAATTTCAGTGGGGTAAGAAAATTTGAAAATTACCTTTTAAAATTATTAATGTGTCATATTAAGTCTTTTCAAACAATTGGATGAATAAAATAACTTCAGATTTTTAAGTTCAGTATTGAGATTCATTTCTCTTCATTTCATAGAGCAATTTTAATTTTTTTTAACGGTTATTTTTCTCATGACAGATCAAATTGATGAAAATTTGAAAACTGCTCTGCAGAAGGATCTGAATAATATGGCTCCTGGTTTGTATATTCAAGCTGTTCGTGTTACAAAGCCAAAGATTCCGGAAACAATAAGGAAAAATTATGAACTTATGTAAGTATTATAGTCTGTGCATAGTTCATGTTGTTAAACTGGTGAATTGGATTGGTAACTGTAAAAATATTATTGTATCTCTCTAAAAATTTAATTTGTAATAAATGCTGCTAATATGTGGCTGGGTTACATCAATGAGTTTATCATTAGACTTAAAAAATCGTTCATTTAGTGCCATAGTAACTAAAACGTAAAAAGAAAATATCCCTTGGTTTCTTGGGAAATATGCATTTTTAAGCTGCAAATTTGAAGACGAATGCACATTGTTTACTTCTTGACACTTTTTCTGCCTCATGTTTTGTCATTCTGCCATGAATAATTATAACTTTTTAACACATCGAGGACTGCGAGTACCACCAGTGGCTCAGACGCAAATGTTTTAGCTGGCGACGTGCACCACCAAGTGGCTCACATCACCTATAGTTTTACAACACAGTTTGTTAGATGAAAAAAAACTTCATGTTGTTCAGACTATAATATTAGTAGACTATAATAATTATGACAACAGATGGTGAACAGCAAAACATAGAATGATATGAATGTAAAGAAAAAAGGGCAAGCAATTTTAAGGAAAATGGAAGAAAAGCAAAAAACCATATTTTATAACTTAAATCCTTTAATAGAATAAAGTAAAAATAATGAATATAATGTATATTGAAGAAAATCAAATTGAAATATAGAATCTAGAGAAAACATGATTGTGCTGAAAGAAATAATGAAAAATTAAATATATTATATCATTATTAGGAAGTAGTACATATTCAGTTTCCATTTGCTGCATTTCTAAATTTTCCCTTATTAATCCAAAAATGCTATTAGTCATAAGTCTCAAAAAGAGATTTAGCATTGTTTCACTTTTCATTCGAATATTGCCATTCAGAAAAACATCAGATATTATTCTTTCATATTTAATCTCTCTTTTATTAATTAGCAAACTAAACTATTTAAAAGCAATAGATGCAGTTCTTAAGAATATATTTTTGGTACTGTTCTGGTATTGGGACTGGATTCATAATTGTATGAACGTGTGTTTGTATGTATGTGCATACTTACATACATTTCTAAACCTGGTCCTGATAACAGACTAGTATCTATATATATATATATATAGTTCGAGAATTAAATCTTTTATATGTTTGCACATTTTTTTAAAAATTATTTTGGCTCTTTTTCCCCCCCTCTTAAATTTGCTTTTTTACTTTTATACGTGTGTGTTAAAATTTAAATTTAAATTTGTTTAAATGTATATATATATATATATATTATGTATTATAGTCTGTGCATAGTTCATGTGTTAAACTGGTGAATTGGATTGATAACTGTAAAAATATTATTGTATCTCTCTAAAAATTTAATTTGTAATGAATGCTGCTAATATGTGGCTGGGTTACATCAATGAGTTTGTCATTAGACTTAAAAAATCAATATATATATATATATATACATTTTAATCAGATTAATTTAGGTAAAGGTGCACTTAATTCATGATATATCTAATTAAAAACATTAAATATTTTTGTGGAATTGCATAACATATTTTTCACTTTTTAAATATACAGAAGATTCATAGCATTCCCATGTTAATCTAAATGCTTATTCATCTAATATCCTATAAAATGTTTTGTTATTCTACCTGTATCTGTTTCAATAATATGTACTGATAAACCACATTATACTTTAAAAGAGCCCTTTTGAGTAATTGTTAAATTTTGGGGGGGGGGGGGTATTCTTCTGGGATGAGACGAGATTTTCATTAGCATCAGTAAAAATCTGTCTTGATATAGTACCAGATAGATTGAAATAGGAGAAAACAGGAGCCGTAGATAATATTTAAGTAAAACTGAAATCATCTTAAGAGTAAACAAATATAAAATGATATAGATATGCAATTTTTTGATTTATACTGATAAGTTGTGCTGTTGCTTATCAATATGCTGACATGTCTTTCTACTACACAGAATCAGTGCATGAAGTTAGACCTGTATAGCATAAATAAATTATTGAAAATAAATTAATTGAAGAAAAAAGCTGCAGATGATTAGAGTAATCAGAAAATTTTACTGTTATATAGACATTTAAATGAAAAATAAATGCTTGTGAAAGTGATAAGATGAGTGTAAATTTGCATAATAGCAGTACAAATGCCATCAATAAGAGCCTCCTGTAGCATATAAAGCTAATTAAAACATTAATAGCTGGGGGGCAGAGTTTTAAGGAAGGCAATTTTAAAAATATTTAAACAGATTTGAAGTTCAGTTTTTGTGTCTTTTTAACAATAAAATTAATTGGTGTGCTGTTATTCAAGTGTAAATTAATATGTTTAGCTCATCATGATAATCTTGGATATTAGTGCCTGTTTACTAATCTTTATAGCCTAATTAATTATGCTTTTGATTAAGAGCAGTCAGCGCAAAATCATTATTTTTCCCCCTCCTATTTCATTCCTTTCAGACATACTCTAAAATGTCATGACATGCATGATTATTAGTTAGCTCATTTTGTTATAGGGTCATTCCTGTGGACTAAAAGAATGTAGAAATTTCTTTTTCTAAACTTCTTTGCAAATGTTCTTTATATATTATGTAACAGAGAAGAAAATTTGAATTTGTAGGCCTGTATAATTTGCCTTCAAATATAAAAATATATAAGCTTTTCTTCTTTAATCTAAAAACAGAAATAATAATAACTGTGCTTAGTTTACTTTTATTCAGTCTATACATTGGAATTGGAATTACTAGATAATTGTAGATTGAAATTTTATGATATAAAAAGAAAAATGGTAATTATATCAGAAAGTTTGGTTTATTTGATTATGGCAAGGCACTCAGGGATTATCTGCCTTCATTGAGGCTCTTTGTAAGGGGTACTGCCTCATATACATGTTACACATAGGAAAACTCATGAAAAACCCATGCAGCCAGCCCGTTCACAGAGATTTGAACCTCAAACCAAACTATCAGTGTTCAACGACTTTACTGCCAGGCTGCTGGTGGGCTGATACCAGAAAGAAGCAAATATTTTGAATAAAAATAAATTGAAAGCTATAGCTAATTAAATATCGGAAGTGAATTAACAAATTAAGAATATTTCTATTATATGATTGAAATATAATGCACTGTACTTGTCTTTAATTTTCTTCTGTATTATGAGTTATTTTCTGTTATTGGAGGTTTTGTGGTATACAGTCAAAAGTCGTTAATCCGGACTCGTCGGGACTTCGGTGATTCCGGATTATAGATCATCAGTTTAAATCTCGTAAGATGGCATGCAGAAATTCTAAAATTAAAAATATGAAACCGTAATTTATGAAATAAAAAAACAATTATGATCTAAAGGGTATCAAAAGTTGCAAAAGAAAAAGCTTAATATCTATTTGTTTACTTTATTAAACATTTTTTTCAATGTAAGTTGTTTAAGTTTTGCTTCGTTTCATGTGATAATACTTTCTCTTTAATTCTATTAAACAGACATAATTTCTTGTTCAGTTACAAAGTTCCGCTGTTCAAGTCCTATAATTGCTGTGTCGACAACACCGACTAATTTGTCAATCGAAATTTTTTCGTTTTCAATAACCTCTGTCACTTTCTTCGCTATCGAAAGCGAATTGTAATGACGAGGAACTTGTTTTAAATCATATCAAAGACGGAGCATATAGAGATGAAATACTACATTTGGTAAGGAATTATAAGCCAAATAAAATAAAAACATCTGCGCTGAAGATAAGGATAGTGCTGACAGATCAACTTCCAATTCATTACGCGCCCGCCGCGGCGATCCCTCCGCCGAGCAGCGTGAAATTGATAAACAAATTTCGGATTTCAAAACATACTTTCGCTTTAGATCCTTTACATATTAACAAATATATATTGGAAATTCTATTTGATATAATCGAAAGTTTAAGCTTACTTTTATAAAATTGCTCTTACAGTCTGCAAAAAATAATAAGCCGGATCCAGTTCGAAAATTAAGGAACAACGCAATCATCAACATTAACTGAAATAGATAATTAGATAATTTTAGCTTATACGTCCATTATACATAAAATGCGCACGCGAAAACCTATTCTGCACTTGCGCACACTCATATGCGCAGTCGTAAAAGGTCTTACGCGCACGCGTAAACGCCTATGCGCATGTGTCAACGCGGCGCATGCGCAGAAAGTTTTTAGTTTTGAGGTCCGGATTATAGATCATTGCGAATTATGGGTGTCCGAATTAACGACTTTTGACTGTATTTTCTGACAAAAATAATAGTTTGTGAAAAACTTAAAAGCTTAAAGCTTCTTACAATGTTTGGAAAGTTTTTAATGAAATATATGTGAATACTGTGAAAAGATAGCAAGAGGAAAAAATAATTGTAAAAACTGCAGATATCATATCATTGGAAATGGCCTAGCAGTTGTTGAGTGATGAAAACAGCCGAATACTGAAAGTTCAGCCCTGCTTTGATCTCAGGGGAACAGACTGACTGCATGGTTGGTTCTCATGTTTTCTCCATGTATAATATAAATATTGGCCAGTTCCTTTAGAGAGTCTACCATTATAAGCATCCCTCCCCTTAGGCAGATGGCTTTGCTAATTTAAATAACCTAATCAAGCTATTAAATGAAAATAAATTTGATTCTAGTATTAAAGTTTTCATAAATAGTTACATTTATTATTTTGTCTATAATTACTCATTTGTTTTATTATATTTGCTATATTTGTTATTTTATTTATTTGTATTATCAAATATTAAGTGTTACTGTATGATCAATAGGGAAAGTGAGAAAACAAAGTTATTAATTGCTGTTCAAAGGCAAAAAGTTGTCGAAAAAGATGCAGAAACTGAAAGGAAGAAGGCTGTAATAGGTATATATTTTCCGTAATTCTTTTTTTAATTCGGTATGTTTGTGAAATAATGGCATTCTTATCTTTTCTGTGCATTTCCCTAAATTAAATGTTTATGCATAATAAATACATATATATATATATATATATATAAGCTCTTAAAGAATTTAAACGCTTTGCTCAACCGATGCGTTAACTGCCATGAGCGTACAAATACGCCCTCCCAAAATACTATCATTTGCTTTGCACTGCTACCCGTAAAATTATTCGCAAATCTTTGGAATGCAACACCACAATGACCTTTGCAAAGTATGCGAAGGAGGATACTATTTCAGAGAGTATGCGAAGGAGGGAGAAATTGGAGAGATGGATGTGTCTAAGGCCGCGAAAGTAATGACTGCGCGGTTTTGGCTGGTGTTGTTTGAGTAAAACGTATTTTTTTTTATTCGGTGTCCTCCGTTTTCGTTTACTTTCTTTAGTAGGTTCCAGGAATAAAGAGAGATATAAGGGATGTTTCAAACTCATTTATCTTTTTTGATGAACTGCTCGTGCTTCATATTGTTCCTGGAACTAACCATTTTGTAGACAAGTATATGAACCAACACCTTGCAAACGAAAAATCAAGAACAAAATCGTGGCATTCAACCAGTGCAGAAGAAATATGTTTTTTTAGGCATGCTGATTTCACAAGGTATATCACTGAAACCTGATATTACACTTTACTGGTCTAAAAATGAATTGATCGAAACTCCATTTTAGGGATCTTTTTATTATAAAAACATCATTTTTATTACTTTTAATACTTGCATATCCTTTTATTATACTTTTACTCAAAACATTAAATTTTGTTCATTAATTTTTTTTATTTATTCTTTATTTTGTAAAAGTAAACCGTTTTTTTTTAGAAAGTAAAACTTGCACTTATTTTGCCCCTAATAAATTGCATAACTACGTGCGCATGTGTGGAAGAACCGTGGGCACTGGGAAAATGAATCTTGTACGTAGTGTATTCGGAAACTAAGTACTGTTTCATTCTAGTGCCGTCGCTGCACTGTGGTAGGCATCCCACGCATACGCACTAGTCTTTCTTGTTCACTGACTTTCAATTGTCACCATTTTGGTTGCTCTATGTTGTGTTTTCAGTTTGCTGTACACATTCAAAATGTTTAAGACAATTAGTTCTCCCGCTGACTGTGAGATTCGTGCCGTGATTAAATTTTTTAACACGAGGAATGTTAAACTAGCCGAAATTTATCGTCAAGTGACAGAAGTTTATGGTGAATACGCGATAAATGATGAAATGGTGAGAAAGTGGGTAAGAATGTTTAATGCAGGTCGAACAATCGGCGTGGTCAAAATCATGTGCACTGTCTTCTGGGATAGGAAAGGCGTTTTGCTTACTGAATTTCTTCCCAGAGGTGAAACCATTAATGCGGCACGATATTGTGAAACTTTAACAAAACTAAGGTGTGTCATTCAAAACAAACGAAGAGGAATGCTCAGTAAAGGAATTGTGTTGCTCCATGACGATGCTCGGCCCCATACTGCTGGTGTCACTCAATCATTAATTCGACAGTTTCATTGGGAGCAGTTCGATCACCTGCCGTACAGCCCGGACTTGGCGCTGTCCGCTATCACTTGTTCCTGCACATGAAGCGCGAGCTTGGTGGCAAGCGCTTTGGATCTGATGATGGTATACAAAAACTGGTCACCCGCTATGACAAGTGTTTGATCATTGGCGGAAACTATGTTGAAAAATAGTTTAAGACATGTATTTTCATGTAAAAAAAAAATTGGATTCAAAAAAATTGTTTTACTATTTTTTTTTCCAAACCCGTACTTAGTTTCCGAATATGCCTCGTATGTTTTCCCCAGCAGTTAATGGGTTAATGATATTAAGTAAATATCTTTAATGATTAAAAGGTAATTTTTTTCTTCTCTTTAATTATGAGTGTTTGCAAATTTTTAAGCATTGAGATGTTTTAGTAATTTTTCCATCACATTCTTTTGCATATCTCTCATGTTGCTATATTTCTGCGAAGTATGTATCTTAAATTGTGTATTAAGTTTTAATTATTAGCCTAGTATCTATTCATTCACATTTGTATTATTTTCTTCACTATAAATATTGAATTCCCATTTTAATGGGTGGAATGAAAATTTACGTACATGCTTTCATGCATTGTTTCATTTTTAATATTTATTCATTAAAGACATATATTTATAATTAGCTGGTAGACTTTCTGAGTTTTTAGCCCAAAGGGCAGTTAATTTCGTTTTGGGATTTTGCATCGGAAACTTGAAAAGTCTGAATCATTTTTCAGATTGTTGCCACCAACTATTATCACCCTGTATTAGAGCTAAAGAAATTAAATAATGAAGAATCTGCATAAATGTATGTATGTTTCTCACTCTGTGATAAAACAGCGGTACCTGGAGCCATCAAATTTTGAATAATATACATCTTCACCATATAATATGCGCATCTGGAAGCCCAAATTTAGAATTTGGAATTTCTTTTACTATCTATTTCTTATTTTGTAAAGAGTAAAAATCCTTTCTTTATTTCAATATAATGGATATTGAATCTTGTAGGAAGAACAAAGCTAAATTTTCAGAATGAACAAAATACTTTTATTTGAATTTTAAAACAGAACCAAAAAAAATAAATACTGTAGCTCTTAACTATCAAAATTTTAAATTCTTAACTACTACAGTTAAAACTCTTACAACTATTAAAATATTAAAATCTTAAACTCTCCAAAAATATATATATAAAAAATCTTCCGAATCCTCTTCTTGTTGCCACACCGTAAAATGCAAGTTCTTGTCCTATTATTTATATTTCACGTTCTCTTTCACGATCTTCACAAGTCATGATCTTTACAAATCACGATCTTTACAAGTCCCCCCACAAGAAGCACATTCGTCACCGTAGAGACAATGTTGCTCAGAGTTCATTGAGAGAGAAAGAGTTAACAGCTAACCTTGACAAAGCATCAGCATTCCCATGTGAACTCCCTTTGCGGTATGTCACAGTCATGTTATACCGTTGTAACGCTAAGGCCCAACAAGACAGTTTAGCACCATGAGGGGCGCTTTGGGTCAAGTAGGTGAAGGGATTGTGATCAGACACAATCTGCACTTTGGCACCGAAAATCCATGTGTCAAATTTTTTCAAGGCTTCGATGACACAAAATGCTTCTCGTTCGATGGTTGATCATCGTTGTTGACAAGGCATTAGTTTCTTGCTGAAAAATGCTATGGGCATTTCTTTTGTAAATGGCTTATGTTCATTATCATTCTCACCTATGGTAGGCAATCCTAGTAGCTGTTGTTCCTTATCATCTTTCCTCTCTTCTATCTTTCCAATGGCTTTGTCAAGTAGCTCATACCATTTATCAATTGTTTCAGCTTTATCAATTTCTTCAAATATGGGATTTCTGTGCTTGGTGAAAGTCCTATAAACTAAAAAAAATCTCAGCAATTTTTTCTTCTGCTTTTTCTAATAATTCTTCATCAACATGATGTAGATCGTCTACCTCGGACTCGGGCTCTTCTATTAATCCAGCAAATTCCTTCCGTTTCTTTCTCGTCTTCCAGTTCTTCGCTGTCATCCGAATAACTTTCTGTTCAATCGTCCATGTTTTCACCCTTGAACTTGAAAGGTTTCTGTGGTTTTTCAGTTTCATTGTGGATGACATTTTCCTTTTCAGTTTCAACTTTTGTTGTATAATCCACACTTTCTTTTTCATCTCCCAGTTCAACAGTATCTATGCTGTCCTTATTGTACTTTTTGTTTCTGTTATCATCCAGAATTTCTTTTTCAGTAAATTGTAATAGTTCACTGTTATCTGCAAGTTTATTTTCAGTTTCAAGATCTGCAGCTTCTGTGTGATTTACATTTTCATTTTCAGTTACTAAGTCAGCTTTCACACTTTCCTTATGGATTATTAAGTCATTCTTTTTATCATCTACTTTTTCCTTCTCGTTTCCAATTTCAGTAATATATTCTTTCTCTTCTATGTTCTCATAATCAAGATTTACTTGAGTTTTATTGTCATCTGCAATTATTTCTTTTTCAGCTGCAGTTTCAGCATCATCTGTATTTTCTGTTTTGGTTACTGGCTTCACTTGAGTTTCACTTTCATTGACAGTTTCTTTTTCAAGTGGGATTTCAGTATCACCCATAAATTCGTTTTTACTTTCAGGTGGAATAATTTCTACATCTGTTATTTTGCTGTCAATTAACTTTTCCTCTTTGAGTTCATCTTCTGTTTCTACCCTCTTAGTTTCTTCAGTTATAATTTCTTCCTTCTGTGCTTCCTGTTCAACAATTTTATCTTCTATCATTTCTGTTTTCTCTATTTTTGTAAAGGCCAGTTCTTTTCAACTCTCATAGAATTTTTTAACATCTTGCTTAATAGTAGGCCAAAAGAATGAGTACTTGATTCGTTGAATTGTCTTTTTCTCACCGAGGTGGCCAGCAAGAGGGATTTCATGTGCCATTTTTTTCACCACAGATATATTCGGAATGAAGTAATATGCCATCATCGAAAGTATATGAATTTAGATTTTTATTTGCCCATTCAAAGCATTTTTTCAGAGTTTCATCTTGTTCTTGATGTGTCTTGAATTCTAGTCTTACTCTGTTCGTTGTTTTCAGAGACTCTATGTTTTCTTGGGAAATCTGATTAACAACAGCCAAATTTGTAGTATTGTCTTCAACTGGTGAGGGTTTATCATCTGTCTCTTTGTACTCTAAGGGGGATGCATCCCAATGACGATCACAGTTCCACAGTTCGATATTTCCACAGAGTGTTTCATAAGCTGAAGAACTCAATAGCAAGTCGGTAACTAGCTTTTTTGAAACAGCACACGTAATGGACACTCTACAGTGAAATTCATCGTCAATTTTCATCTGGAAAATCTTTAGTGGAGTAATTTCGTTTTCACCGAAAGCAGAAGATATCTCTATTTTACTTTCTCCTTCGCAAGGTATGTTGTCAACCAATTTCTCACGGACTACTGAAATTTGTGCTCCCGTGTCTACAATTCCATTTAGAATAATATCTCCACATTTAACTTTGACAAGTTTTAATTCATCTATGTTTCTAGACACGTCCACTGATTTTGAGACAGGAATAGAGATCTTGGCAGTTAGCATTTCTGGTTTTTCTTTTTCTGCAAGGGGTGTTTGTGTTTGTATTAAGTTGTTTTGTGCTGTTGCAGAAGCACTTCTTGGTATCCGATTTTTGGTACATAACTTAGATGTATGACCTTCCTTTCCACAATTATAGCAAGTTAGTTTGAAACTAGGCTTTTGTGGTTCGTCACTCTTACGGGATGGGTACACTCTTGGCGTGTTTTCAGTGGACAGCGATTTATTTCTGAAAGCTCTTTCTGGAAGTGGAGAACGAGGTTGCCATTTTTTATTAATTCTGTCTGGTGATGGATTACCACCAGTCCATTTTGAGATATTACGAACACTGTCTCATATTCGTCAAGTTTATCAGCTAATTTGGTTGGAGAAACGAACTTCGCCCAGTCGTCAAGAACATGGTCTCTTACTTCATAGGGTACTCTTTTCTTAATTTGGTCAGTAATAATCAAGTCTTTTAACGCGGCAAAATTTGTGATTTCAAGACCATTAATCCATTCTTCAAAATTTCGTAGCAAAAATCTCTCCATGATTTTTCAGCGCTCTTTTGGTGCATCACAAATTTTTTTCTTAAGCTTTCAGGATTTAATTTAAATCTCTTCAATAAAATGGCCTTAATGTACTCATAATCTTCAAAATTTTCTTCAGATTCCCTACCAATTAATTGAATGATTTCAGATGGCATTAAAGTCAATAAACATGAAACCCAATCTTTAGGATCAATCTTTGTCTTTTTAGCTTGTCTTTCAAATAAGGATAAATAAATCACAATATCATCGTGTCTTAAATTGAATTTGGGAATAAGCTTAATTAAATCAAAATTATGATGTCCATTTTCATTTGTTGGTGGAGTTTGTGTTAATCGAACACGAGATTCAATTTCGAGTTTCCTCAATTCAAACTCCATTTGCTCTCTTTTCTGCTGTGCTTTTAATTCTTCTTTCCTTCGTTGTTCCTCAATCTCTTCTTTCCTTCGCTGTTCCTCAAGCTCTTCTTTCCTTCGCCTTTCCTCAAGCTCTTTTTTCCTTCTCTGTTCCTCAATCTCTTCTTTCTTTCGCTGTTCCTCAATCTCTTCTTTCCTTCGCTGTTCCTCAATCTCTTCTTTCTCCTTTCTTTGCTGTTCCTCTTCTTTTCTTTTCCTCTCTTCAATAATTGTTAAAAACACTTCTTTAGCAAATGCTTCATCATATGTATCACTTTGAATTATTTCATTTTTTATCGTCATGATTTTCATACTTGGATCTACTTGAATTTCTAATTCAGCAGCTAAAGCCAGCAAATCCTCTTTTTCCCACGTCCCATAAAAGCCATGTCTCAATTTTATTCAGCCAATAGACTCTTAGTTTTTTTTTTTTTTTTTTTTTTTTTTTTTTTTTTTTTTTTTCTTTTTCTATTTAAATATAATTCACAATGAATTTAATTTTATTCGGCACGAAAATCAATCAGTGGAATCAATACTTAAATGTGTTGTTGACCTACTCTGGCGAGTCAAATGAAATTACATTTGAACACTGGCGTATTCATTACTTTGACAAGTAAATAAACTAAGATTCCATGACGGAAACAATAATTAACTTTTCATAATCTTAATTAATTATTTTACGTTTACAAGGTAAATTGAGCTGTCACCTGAGTTATTTTGGTTCGTAATTATATGCGGGAAAACCCCGATCCTACCGGCTGTGCCAGTAAAGATCCTTTCCTTATTTCAATATAATTGGTCTAGAATCTTGTAGAAAGAACAAAGCTAAATTTTCAGAATGAACAAAATACTTTTATTTGAATTTTAAAACAGAACCAAAAAAAAATAAATACTGTAGCTCTTAACTATCAAAATTTTAAATTCTTAACTACTACAGTTAAAACTCTTACAACTATTAAAATATTAAAATCTTATACTCTCCAAACAAAATATATATAAAAAATCTTCCGAATCCTCTTCTTGTTGCCACACCGTAAAATGCAAGTTCTTGTCCTATTATTTATATTTCACGTTCTCTTTAAGTCACGATCTTCACAAGTCATGATCTTTACATAAAGCATTTGTGGGTTTTTATGAAGAAACTTAACGACTTCAAAGCAAGCAATGGTGACACTGTACAGAAGGGGGGGATTTTTTTTATCTCCAGCGCATTTTACTGTGTATCAGAAATTCTAAAACTATGGTCTTTTTAAATTATTTTCCAGTGTTGCTGTTGACTAAAATTGTATAGTTTTGTGTGAAGAACATGATATTTAGTAAATAAAGGTAATACACAAAATGTTAAAAAAAGGCCCCTTTGAGCATAATATAAAATCTAAAATTTTTTAATTAATATTACTAACACGATTATTCTTTTGTTTTATTCATTCATTATCTTAATGCATGTTATTACCATTTTTAGCCAAGCAATAAAGTCACTGAACATTGGTAGTTTAGTCTGGGTTCTAATCCCAGCGAACGGGCTGGCTGCATGTCCGTTTTCATTGTTTTCCACCTGTTTAACATGTATACAGACCAGTTTCCCTATAAAGTCATCCACGAAGGCATCCCTCCCCTTAAGCAGATATCCCTCGAGTGCTTTGCCATAATTAAATATACTGTACCATTACCATTTTGACCAGCAATAGGGAATTTCAGACAGTTTTATGAACATTTTTATAGTTTATAATTTAGCATGTAAAATTCATTTCTTTGTTGTGTTTGTGATTTTTGTGAACATGTCAAAAAGCATGTCAGTTTGATGATATCTTGTCATACTTGTATTTAAAATAAAATCTCATTTTGCAGAGATTATGGTAAATGTCTAAATCCATTGCTTAAAAAAAAAAAGGTTTTCGTTTTTGAAGTGCAATTTTGTTTTTCCTGAACTTGGTGTATCAACATTTTAGTGATGATTTTGAGACCTCTTTGACTAAGAAATTTTATTTTGATGATTTTGATTTGCCAAATTTAAACAGAACAGATATTACAAAGCACAATTTTCTAATCTCTTTTTAGTAAAAACAAAATAATCTGCTATAAATATATTAAAAGTGATTTTATTTTTCTATTTTTGCACTTTTTCCACTTTATGGTAGGTATGTCTTGTTTTATGTTGAATTTTAATATTTTTACATGTTTTGATATCCATTTGTACGCAAAATAAAGGTGAAGCTCATAACTTGCTGGTGTACCATGAAAATACATTCAAAAGAATATTATTTTTAATTTCTTATATATATATATGTTATTTTTGTTTTTAGAGGCCCAAAAGAATGCTGAAGTTGCAAAAATTCAATATGAACAAAAGATTATGGAAAAAGAATCTTTAAAAAAGATGTCTCTGCTAGAAGGTTAACTATGTTATTTCTTACTTGCATTCCCTGTGATAATTGTGGATATGTTTATGTATAATAGCTTCATGGCTTAAAGAGTTTCTAATTATAAATTCTATTCAGAGTATTATCAAAAATACTGTCTCTTTCTCTAAAGTATGAGATGTATCCAGAAAGTAAGTTTTTGTAGGATCTTGAACAAAAATGAAACACATTTAACATATTAAAACATTTAATGGAACCAATACAGCAATCATTGAGCTGCTGCTCATCATATTTAGCATTGGAATTGAAACACTTTGCTTCATTGGATCTATTTTTACCTAGTTTCTGAGACAAAAATGAACAACCTACATTTCACCCACCATCTCTGATGATTCTGTCAAGGAATCCATTATTGTCGTCATTGTATCACTGCAGAATTTCACCCACCATCTCTGATGATCCTGTCAAGGAATCCATTATTGTCGTCATTGTATCACTGCAGAAAAGTCAATGTTAATCCCACACTCATCTGGATCATAGCTTCCAGAACAAGAGGTGTTTTTTGTCAATTTCGTACAACAAGGAATGAAATATTTTCAGAAAGTGAGTTTCATAATTGTTAATGACAGCTTTCCAAAACGTATTGCTATGCTTGCTTTACAAGGTCATCATTGATGATGGAAGGTTACCCAATGTGCTTTTCATGATGGATGTCTCAGCGACCTTTAGAAACTTATCTGAACCAACAGCACACAATCTGCAGGCTCTTGATAAATTATTATTGGTACTAGCATCTGTGCATTCAGAAACTTTATCATGAGCCTAATCCAGCATTTCATGAGTGAAAAAATAAGGGCTGATGTTTTAAGCTGACTGTTAATGATTGGGAAGTGGCACTTATCATGTACGATATCCTCATCCTAAAACTTTCAAGCATGCAACATTTTGCCTTTCACAATGCATGGCCTGGGTCTGTCATATTGGTCTTAGTGTTGAGAACTTATTTTTAGGATATACCTCATATTTTATAAATCAGATTTCCTTCAAAGACTATCCATCTGCTAGACTTCAGAACTTTTATTGATTTTTCAGATTTCTAGAATGATTCCTGGTGTTTATTTTTAAGTGACTACTGTTTTAATTTTATTATAATAAATCAGTATATAAAATTATATCAAATGAAATTAATGAAGCTTAAATATTGCCAAAAATTGTGTTATGTTAAAATCAGAACATTTAAAAAGTTTATCAATAAAATCGAGAGCACAGATTACTTCCTATGTTCATAATAATAAAATTTTAATTAAAATTTAGTTGAAACATTTTTATAATTATTATGTCAGGCTTTCCAATTGCAGAAATTGATTTCAAATTCAGTGCATTAAATGTTAAAAATAGGCTGTATAGGCGATGCCAAAGATTATTTTATTAATGTCTAGAGTTCATGTACTTACATGCCATTAATCAGTGGCATATGTGCCAGTTTTGACAACATGGAAGTATTAACTCGTAGTAAATTATCTTGTGTGTGTTTTTATTATTATTTTAGCATTTGTAATTTAAAACTTCTGTTTAATTATTCTATTATCTCTCTCCTTTTTTTAGATAAAACAATGTTGAAATGTGTCTATTACATTAGATTCCAAGTATGTTCATAAGTTTTCTAATATATTCTCGTAGATGATATGGCATTTTCAAGACAGAAGACGAGAGCTGAATCCGAGGCATATACGAAGAAGCAGCTTGCTGAAGGAAACAAGGTTTGTTCTTGCTTTTTCATTTTTTTATGTTTTGAGTTGATTGACAGGTACTTTTGTCAAGCCTGTCTGAAACAAATTACAAAAAACTGATACTTTAAAATAATTTTAAAAAAATAATTAATATATAAAGCAAGAAAATGCATTCAACAAGTGAGATACATATATGCATTGGGAAGATGCTTGTAATATTAATCTCTTGTAGTGTGGTAAATTTCAAAATAATTTGGAATATTTTTCATATTGATTCATTTATACTAGAAATTTTTCTGTGCGACCATTTGTTATTGTGTTGTGTTTGAAACTATCTTGTGGTTTATTATTGTGTGCATATTGCTACATTCACTATCATATTTCTTACCATCATAAATTATTGGTCATTTTTCTGTTTTATTATAATCAAATATTCACTATTTTGCTGTCACTTCCCAATTTGGAAACTAGAATAAAATAATAAATTTGTATCATGTTTTATCTTAATGTTAGTATAATTTTGCATGTGTTTGTGATCTGTAATTTTTTTGCAAGCATACGTGTAAGCATGGCATTGTACAGCTATACATAATAACTAAAAATTGCCAAATTTTTTCATTCTGTAACATTCAAAGCTTCATGCAAAAAGAGCAAAATCAGATAATATATTATGCATATGATGCTCATATTTGATGCAGTTAACAGTCAGATTACATAGAATTTAATTTCAATAAAAGTCAAATCATTCAGATAAAATGTAAAAAGTGGTTTGTGTTTAAGTTTTAAATTGGAAGCTTGCAGATTACAGTGCCCCAAAAAATATAAGTGTTCTTTAATGATAAAAGAAGGATATCACAGTAGCTGACTTATTAATCACTATTGGTTATTGATTAAAAACTAATTTTCCTCAGTATTTTTATTCTTAAATATATTCAGATATGACCAAATGCATGTTTTATCTTTATAGCTACTCCTTACACCTGAATATTTGGAGCTAAAAAAACTAGAAGCAATTTCTCAAAATAGTAAAATATATTTTGGTTCTGATCTTCCTCGAATGTTCATGGATTCTAGTCATACTGTGCCACCAAATAAAAAAGTGTTTGCATCTGATCTTGAAGTAAGTGTGTATTTTTGGTTTTTGAATCATTTGTTTTTTATTTATTTATTGTCTTATGAAGGTTATTGGTGTGTGTATGCATAGCTGACAACTCTCCCATTTTTCAATTTTTAACCTTAATGTGGGAAATATTTCCCAGAAATTGCCGAAATTTATTGAATCAGTGAAACTTAAATTGCTCAAATTTAGATTGATTAGTTTAACATTGTTGTTGCATTTGTTTATGAAATACTGCTTATTTATTTAAATTAAATGTAAAATTTCATAATGTTTGTAATTTTCATTATTGCTAACATTATTAAATAGTCTTAAAATGAAGGTGAAATTTTAGAAAATAATTTCTTTTTTATTACTAAAATAATATAATTAAAGAAAATTAAGTTTTTTAACGTTTCATGTATTGCTTTTCTTTATTTCTTCAAATTGGGATTTTAAAATTAAATATTTTTCAAAAGTATCTGCTACAGTTTTTTGCCAGTTACTAACCTTAATATTTACTGTAAGTAATACATCTCTCAAAATGTTTAAAATAGTCAATTTATATGTAGATAGAAAGTAATTGTGATTATTATACTCTTAGTTGTATGTACAGTAGATGGTGCTTTTGATTATTATATTTTGAAATAGTAAATAAATATTTTTTTAGTTTTATTAATTGGTTTCTTTTTCAATGAAAATTCTTCTTATAGTTAGTTATATTTGGTACTCTTCTATTATCAGGATTGGCTTCAGAAATGTATGTATGGATATATGTGTATGTATATATGTGCATATACAGTCAAAAGTCGTTAATTCGGACACCCATAATCCGGAATGATCTATAATCCGGACCTCAAAGCTAAAATCTTTCTGCGCATGCGCCGCGTTGATGCATGTTCATAGGCGTTTTATGCGTGCATGCAAGACATTTACGACTGTGCATATGCATCTGCGCAAGCGCAGAGTACATTTTTGCGTGCGCGTTTAATGTATAACGGACGGTGTAAGCTAAAATTATCTAATTATCTATTTCAGTCAATGTTGATGATTGCGTTTTTCCTTAATCTTCGAATTGGATCCGGCTTATTATTTTTTGCAGACTGTAAGAGCAATTTTATAAAAGTAAGCTTGAACTTTCGATTATGTCAAATAGAATTTCTGATGCTGGAGCTCCCAAAGGATCTAGAAAACGAAAGTATGTTTCGATGTCCATCAAACAAAAAACGAATTGCTACAAAAAATGGATAAAGGTATATCCTTTGTTTATCTAACCGTTTCCGAAATCTGTTTATCAATTTCACGCTGCTCTGCGGGGGAAGGGGGGGGAACGTCGCGGCACGCAATGAACTGGAAGTTGATCTGTCAGCACTATCCTTATCTTCAGGGCAGATGTTTTTATATTTTATTCGGCTTATAATTCCTTACTAAATGTAGTATTTCATCTCGATGTGCTCCGTCTTTGATATGATTTAAATCAAATTCCTCGTCATTATAAATATCACGAAATACAAATCAAATAGTTTTCTGGTTGCAACTTTTCTAATTTCGACTATGCGTAATGGTATGCTTTACGCATGCGCGCGTTGAAAGAAATGTTTAATAAAGTAAACAAATAAATATTAAGCTTCTTTTTTTTGTAAATTTTGATACCCTTTAGATCATAATTGCTCATTATTTTATAAATTACAGTTTCATATTTTTAATTTTTATAATTTCTGCATGCCATCTTACCAGATTTAAACTGATGATCTATAATCCGGAAAAATCGATAATCCGGAATCGTCGAAGTCCCGACGAGTCCGGATTAAAGACTTTTGACTGTATTATGTGTGTTTATACATACACATGTATATATACACATACATACATTTCTGAATCCAGTCCCAATAACAGAAGAGTACCTTATCTGTTAATAAGCATTTATAAAAAATTTCAAAATTGTTTTCATTATATTGTAAAATGTGTTTTAATAACAAATAAAAATGAATTAAAATACTAAATTGTTCAACTGTTTAGCTTGATTGGTTATAATGTTTTAACTATATTTTACTATAACATAAATTAATTTTACAGCATGTATAGTTTGTAATAAAATTAAAATGTTATATTTTAGGAAAAAGAAGTTTCTCATGAAAGCTTAATGAAAAGTGAACTATGAAAATAAATATTTGCATTCAATCATTTTTTCATTCAAGTTTGTTTGGCAGAAGAGAAAGAAAAGAGGAGGAATTGGTGTGAAAATAATTGTTCAGATCTTTAATGGAAAGTTATTGCATTGTCATAATTTCTGTGATTAATCTATGTATACTAATTGTAAAAAAGAAATTCTCATTGTCACGATTTTTGTAATTTTATATTAAAATTAAAAACAAAAAAGTTGTTGCAAATCAAAAAGTGTCATCTTGCTTTTCTTTCTTAAACTTTAAATCATATATTAATTTTCAGTGCAAATGGATATTTTTCTATGGAAATATTTACTGTGCATGGTAAGCACTATATAGTTACAACTATGAGGAACACTGAATGTTGCTAAATGCAAGCTCAGAGTTTATTTATTTCAAGTTGGAAACTGTGAAATGTCTTTGATAAAAACTGTTCTGACAATATATTTCATAGTTCATTTGTGTTTGATAAAAACTGATTTATCAGAATGTTTTATGATTTTTTTAATTCCAGTTTCTGAAGCAGTACACAGTGGTAATATTTTGGATATTTTCTGAAAAGGCCATACATTACTAATGGGGGGGAGTCGTAAGAATTATCTAAAATTATAGCTGCCAGTAGTGAAGAAAATGACAAAGAGGCTGCTCAGAGTTAAAAGATTTTGTTTGACAGTTTAGTGGGAATTCAATAAATGGAACTTTATAACTGAACAAAAGATTATGCCTTTATTATTGATGTTAAATCACCAACTTCAATAGTTGTAGATGAGCTGCTTGTATGTGAAAATGCTATAAAAGGTATCCAAAAATAAAAATAAATTAAATGAACTTTATCTGTCAAAAGAGATCTTGTTAAAAAATAAAGTTAATCCAACGTAAAAAGCACTTAAAAATGCTTGCAGATGCTAAAATTTTTGCAGATGTCTCATCTCATTTCCCACCCTTTCGTTATGAAGCTGGTGCTAGCAACGCTTTACAGTAAGGCTCTTAAATCTTAATTACTAGTAGCTGTTGATCTTACTGCACATCCTAAAATCATTATTATAGTATTTATTTGCAACAGATCCCTTACAGTAAGTCTCTTGAATATTAATTACTAGTAGCTGATGATCATACTGTATTATCCAAAATAGTTAAGGTAGCATTTATTTGCAACACATCTTTTAAATGTTATAACATTTGATTTTTAATAAGCTCTCTTTCTGCTAGATATTTGCATGAAATTACAAAAAATTAATTTTCATTACTTACTATTTTCCTTAAAGATTCTTACTAAATTACTTAGTACATTTCTAAAACTAACAGCAATTATTTTTAAAGTTTAATTTTTCACGATTTTGAATGTTGATACAGTTCAAGAGACCTTGGCCAGAATCGGCAAATCAAAAACATGTTTCGATGTCAAATAAGCAAAAAATGGATATAGGCATAAACAGAAAATAGATCTTCATGGATGAGACACTGAATGGGTGAGACAGCATTGCAGAAATGGCATGCCGGTAATGGGTTCCAAATATGTTATGAGTAAATGGAATTAAAAAAACTTAATGTACACTGCTCAAAAAAAAATGGGACAGTGCTGTATCTCCCGTTCTACTGGGCCGATTGACAAAATTCAAACTGTGTTTTTCATGTCTTGAAAGCACGACTTGGGATATATATTAGATTTATATATAGCACTATTCTAACATACGTATTTTGACGCAAAATCGGACTTTTTCTGAAATAACATACCAATTTTTTTCCAGATTTCGATGCTACGACTCAAGTTATGCCAGAATACCAAGTTTTGTAAAAATCGTACGAGTAGTTTTTAAAATATTAGCTCTCAAAAATTTAGCTCCTCAATGTTATTTGAATTTGGTAAATATTTATTAATATCTCTTTTTTTATTAAACTTTTCTTATTTTTCCTTTCACGTTTCAAAATTTTAGGTTCATTCCAATAAAATTTACCCCTTTTTTTGTGTTTTATTTTTTAAATTTTATAAATTTTTCAAAAAAATTTTGAATTACAACCTATAAAATTTTTACCATCATCTTAAAGTAGGTGTATTTCTAAGCATACCTGCAAAAAAGTAGACTTTTTTATTCAAAATTTTCTAAGATATATACGAATTTATATATTTTTGCATTTTGAAATTTGGCATCTTTTTTTTTTTTTTTTTTTTGGAGCAATAATAACGCCAAATGTGGTTTATGGAGTTTTGTTACAGTAAATTGCCACAGCTATTTTTAACTTTAAATTTCAAGTAAAATTTTACGGAGAATTAATTATATGAAATTTTTCCCTCGATGCGTAATAAATATTTATTAATTCTAGATGAAAAGATATTTTTTTAAATTATAGATGATATTATTTAAATTTTTAATTATTTTTTTTTTTAATTTCTCTCTTCTTTTTTTTTTTAATATTTGTAAGAGTAAATTTTAACTGCGGCGTTTTGTCATCTGCTACTTTACTTTAACATTGTTTAAATCGAATTGTCTAAAACTGAGAACTTTTGTTTGATGTTTATTTGAATTTTACGAAGATATTTTATGACATTAACTGCATAATTTATTTCTAAACAAGCTATTGCTTATGAAGTGGCTGATACTGTCTTCCATATTTTTATAGAAACATAAGATTTAAAATAATCATTTTTATAAATTCATTATAAATTTATTATTCATTTATAAAGTCAAATTATGATATAAACATACAACCCTCTAGAGACCGAATTAATGGAAGTTCAGTGGTTATGTAGAAATGATCTGCAGCTACTTAATGGATGGATAAGTCAGCAGTTTCTGTGGACAAGTAAGAATAATTATATAAACGTATAAGATATTTCTGCCACTTCCCTAGCGTGCCTTTGTGGTGTAACGGTAGCACGCTGAGCTGGTATTCCAGAGGTCCGTGGTTCGATTCCCGGCGAAGGCGGTTGCATATTTTTCATCTTTTTTGCTTCCAATTAACCTAATGACTTTACAAACGACACCTAAATTCTGGATTCAATTAACAACGGGGGTACGATGTTTATTAAATGAATTTAAGTTTTTAAACATAAAAAATCAACTCATTTTTTATCCTAAAATGTATTTTTATGCATAGCATATTTTCATTATATCCTTAAAATTCTAATTTAGAATGTAATTGTCAAGAACTGAATTCTAATCATCCGTAATATAATAAGTAATTATTACGGTTTAATAAATCCTTCTTATAAAGTAATTGCAAATATTTCGAAAAATGTTCTGTCTGAATGCAAATATTTCTAATTTTATATTAATCAAGATTGCACACAATATTATTTATTTGCACTTCAATTCTTACTTAGAAACAGTGTACCGTAACAGCAATTCAATTATTGGCACCGTATCTTTCATGTTACTCTCGATTGGCTAGCTACATGATTTTTAATGAGTATTTGTTTTTTGCTAGTAACTTCACTTGGAAATCGCGCTTAAACTACGTTAGTTGGTTATTTGAGCATAGAAAGAACATAGGAGATATATGGTTCAGATGCTTTCATAGAGAACCTTGAAAACTATGAAACCCAACCATGCAGCATGAGTTAGACTTCCCAACAAACAATTGGTGTTTAACAATCCTCAAATGATAGGCAACTGGTGAGGCTCCAATTAAATTTCCAATTTAATATTTTATTTGTAAATGTTTAAGATATTGTTATATTCTTAGACACAAAAAGCAGAATTTAATTTTTTTAACTCGTTAGTAAATTACCAAGCCATAGTGCAAATGAATATTCACTTTCTTTTGCAATAATTGTGTTCACTTAATATTCTTGGAATATGAGCTAAAGAAAGAATGTTCTCGGGAAAATTAAAGAAGTGTTTAAATCCAGTGATATTAGGTTTGTCTGACAAGCTCAAAATCAAAACAATTCTGCAATTGCCTGAGTAGTTGACTTGTAAATGGCTGTGAATTAAGCAGATGACTTTTAATCTTTCATTATTCAGTCAGAAAATGTATTCCAAATGTTTTGTATTGCATGGCAATGCATCTTTTCATTATTCAATAACCAATAGGAGACCGCTTGTATTCCGAAAATAAGTATGTGTACTCAGTTGTCCTGCGTGTTCTTTAAATTTGTCTTCTTGTGATTTTTTTACTTTCCCAAAAACTGAAGTTGCCTCTCAAAGGAAAGTTTTTTGACATTGAAGAGACAAAAGGAGTATGACATCTCCTTTTAAAGGCATGTCAAAAACAGATCTCTGTAAGCCTTCTCTTCCATTATATGTTGTTCATTCAGACAAAAAGTTGGATCAGCGTAAATTTTATAATGTATTTTGTTACACTCTGATTTATTAACATATAGTGAATATATACTAAACCTTTTAATTCAGCTTCAGTAATTCGGAATTGTTGTCGGAACTCGGACTTAGAAGATAAGTCAAATTGAATATTTCGATAATCCAATAAATTCAAGGTCAAAGTTTCAATATTTTATTTTCGGAGGGAGGGGAAATTTTTTCAGTTTTGGTCCATTATCCTAAGTATATTTGCTTCGATTCTTTATTTTTTCCATAAAAGCAAAAATCTTATGCATGGTATACATATAAAGCATAGCTTCAATTAAAATTTAATAATATACAGGGTGGTTATAATTAAAGTTCCACTTTGAAACGGTCATAAAAGGAAAACTATTGGATGAAATGTTATCAAACTTGGTAACCCGTGTAAAGGAGGTCATGGGAATTTATTTTCCGTGCAAAAATAAGGAAAGTTCGAAACCTCACCACCAGGGGGGAAATGGCGCTGTATGCAATAATTTTAAACGAAATATGGGTCGGAATCTAACTTAACCTTTTGTTACACGGGTTTAATATGTTGTATAACCTTAAGAAACTTTGAAGTAAGCAATATACCATTTAAAGGCGTTAAATTCGATAAACATCGAGTGCGCCATCCGTGTAAGTGAGAAATTCGTCCGTGAAAACCACGAATTAGCGGTTAGAAAATGTGAGATCGCAAATCACTCTCACAAATGCGCACAATCTGGAAATCCTTTTCTTACAGATCGCTAATTTGTAATTTTTGAAGCTGAATTCGGGCCTAAAACATGAAGATACTGATTCAAAACGCTTTTAATCGATTTGGGCCAAAGAAATCCCTCATGTTATCTATCTAGTTCCATTGCATTCGATTGCATAGCAGTCATTTCACACCGTTTAGTGTTGAATGACAGCTAGTTTTATAACTGAACCATTTTTCTCTGAAGAGCAG